AATGCATATTTTTTTTTATGTACTTTCATCTCATAATTTGTGTGATTACAGTAGGTTACATGAGTTTTTATAGTGAATTATGCTCATTACGTGCATTCTTATGTGTAGGAGCAAGTTGGGCGAAATGTGAGTAAAAGAAGTTGATTCATGACCAAAAGACAAAAGAAGGACTTTGCTCGTTCACTCTCGCGTGCACACGAAAGAGTGAACAAAATAAACTACCCTTGGATTAATTGGTTACTCTATTTAAATTAATAAATATAGATATATTATAATTAGCTATAACAAAAATCGAAAAAACATTACCCATTCAAATTGGGGAGTAGTTTTAATTTGGAGTTTTAAAAATATATTAAAATTAAAAAAACAAATGAAAAAGTAAAATTACCTATAATAAAAAACGGAAATATATAAATAAAAGAAATACCCATTCAAATTGGGGAGTAGGTTCAAGTTGGAGTTTTAAAATTATTTTAAAATTAAAAAAAAAAATAAAGAAATAAAAAATTGCCAATTCAAATTGGGGTTTGGTTTCAATTTGGAGTTTTAAAATTATTTTAAAATAGAAAACAGAATAAAGATATAAAAAATTACCAATTTAAACTGGGGAGTTATTTCTTTCTAATATAGTAGTATATATATATATACACACACACACACAAAATAAAAAATAAAAAAATAAAAAATAATAATTATATGATGCCAAGTGGCATAACCATGAGACGCCAAATATAGATTTTTAGGACAAAACTCCAACAAAGTTGGTATTTTAAAATTATTTTAAATAAAAAACAAAATTAAAAAAAAAATGCAAATTCAAATTTGGGAGTAGTTTCAAGTTGGAGTTTTAAGACAAAATAAACTACTTTTCTAACTAAAAAATCTTTTGAATTTTAAATTTTGAATTAATTGGTTACTCTATTTGAATTAATAAATATAGATATATTATAATTAGCTATAATAAAAATCGAAAAAAATTACCTATTCAAATTGGAGAGTAGTTTCAATTTGGAGTTTTAAAAATATATTAAAATTAAAAAAACAAATGAAAAAGTAAAATTACCTATAATAAAAAACGGAAATATATAAATAAAAGAAATACTCATTCAAATTGGGGAGTAGTTTCAAGTTGAAATTTTAAAATTATTTTAAAATAAAAAAATGAAACTAAAGAAATAAAAAAACTTTCAATTCAAATGAAAAATACAAAAAATCAAATGGCATTGTTAAGACAAAACTGGGGAGTAGTTTCAAGTTGGACTTTTAAAATTATTTTAAAATAAAAAAACGAAAATAAAAAATAAAAAAACTTTCAATTTAAATTGGGGAGTAGTTTCAAGTTGGAGTTTTAAAATTATTTTAAAATAAAAAAACGAAAATAAAAAATAAAAAAACTTTCAATTTAAATTGGGGAGTAGTTTCAAGTTGGAGTTTTAAAATTATTTTAAAATAAAAAAACGAAAATAAAAAATAAAAAAACTTTCAATTTAAATTGGGGAGTAGTTTCAAGTTGGAGTTTTAAAATTATTTTAAAATAAAAAAACGAAAATAAAAAATAAAAAAACTTTCAATTTAAATTGGGGAGTAGTTTCAAGTTGGAGTTTTAAAATTATTTTAAAATAAAATAAGGAAAATAAAAAAATAAAACAATTTCAATTCAAATAGGGGAGTACTTTCTTCCTAATAAAGTAGTATATATAAATATCTATTTTATTTTATATATATAAAAAAGAAGTAAATACTTATATGATGCCAAGTGGTATAACCATAAGACGACAAGTATAGATTTTAAAAAAAATAAAAAATGCCAATTCAAATTACGAATTAGTTTCAAGTTGGAGTTTTAAGACAAAATAAACTTCTTTTCTAACGAAAAAATCTTTTGAATTTTAAATTTTGAGTTAATTGGTTATTCTATTTGAATGATATAAATATAAATATCTTATAATTAGCTATAATGAAAAGATGAAAATATAAAAATCAAATACCCATTCAAATTGGGGAGTAATTTCAAGTTGGAGTTTTAAGATTATTTATAAAGAAAAAAAATTAGATGTAACAAAAAGAGAAAAAAATATATATTTAAAACACTACCCATTCAAATTAGGGAGTAGTTTCAAGTTGGAGTTTCAAAATTATTTTACAATAAAAAATGAAATTAAAAATAAAATAAAATAAAATTGCTAATTCAAATTGGGGAGTAGTTTCAAATTGGAGTTTTAAGACAAAATAAACTACATTTCTAACTAAAAATCCTTTTGAATTTTTAAATTAATTGGTTACTCTATTTGAATTAAAAAATTTAAATATCTTATAATTAGCTACAATAAGAAAAACCAAAAAACAATAATTATACATATTGGTAGTTTTTTTTATAAAAATAATAAAAAGGCTTATATCTTTATACTTTTGATGAATTTAAAATTATAATTTAGTAAAAAATATTACATTATTTAAATTTTTAGTAAATTTTAAAATAAGAAAACTAATAAAATATTACAGTAGAAAATAATATACGAAAAGATGGGGATAAAGAGAATTTTATGATATTTATAGACTTAATTAATAAATAATGAATAATAAATAATAAATAATAAATAAATATATAACACTCAATAAAATTATTGATAAATTTAGACTATTTTGAACAGTATAACATAAGTTTTTTTTAAAAAATATTTTCAGAGTAATAAATATATATCTATATTATAAAAAAGAGAAGTAATTTCAAAATAAAAAAATAATTGACAAGTTAATAAAAATCACATTAGTAAATGTATATTACTAAGTACTTGCTAATTTAATAATAATAAAGAGTAATAAGGAACAAATAATTTATTCGATTACTATTTAATGTGTATTATTTTATTTTGTATAGATTTTTTTATATTTTTGTACATACATGAAATAATAAAATAATAACTGATATTTTTTAAAATAATTTAATATATTAGATCATAACTTTATAACATTAATATTCTGTTAAATTATCCGCGCATCGCGCGGGTTTTAACACTAGTATATTATTAAAATGAGAGGAAAAAGCTCTCTCCTTAAGCCAAGTGATAGCCTAGAAAAAAGTCACATGGCATAAGTAGTTAATAATTAGTTATTGGTTATTATTTTTGAATTTAAATATGTATAAAATAATAAAATAAAATAATTTATAATAAAAAACAAAAATTAACAAAAAATACCGTCCATTCAAATTGGAGGGTAGTTTCAAGTTGGAGTTTTGAAATTATTTTAAAATACAAAACTAAAATTACAAAAAATAATGCCAATTCAAAATTTCTTTATTTTTCTTAATAATTTTTGTTTTTCTTTTTAAAACTACAAAGTTTATTTATTCAGAAAATATTATTGAGAATAATAGACTAAAATATAAAATATAAAATATAAAAGTATATATCTTCTATTATATTATTAAAATAAAGTAGCATACAAAAATTTAAATAAAGTAATATGCTAATAAAAGTTTCTATTAACAATGAAATAATACTAAATATGGATAATATAATAAAGAAAAATACAAAACAAAAAAGTTATTCGATGACTATATAAGTCTCTTTAATTTAATAGAGATTTTATTCATTAAAATTTAGATAATATTATTGAGAACAATCTTCTATATATTATTAAAAGAAGAGGAAAAAGCCCTCTCTTAAGCCGAGTGGTAGCTTAGAAAAAAGCCACATGACATAAGTAGTTAATAATTAATTATTTAATTAATAATTAGTTGTTGGTTATTGTTTTTGAATTTAAATATTTATAAAATAATAAAATAAAATAAAATATTTTATAATAAAAAACAAAAATTAACAAAAACTACTGTCCATTCAAATTGTAGGGTAGTTTCAAGTTGGAGTTTTTAAATTATTTTAATATAAAAAAATAAAATTACAAAAAATAATGCCAATTCAAAATTTCTTTGTTTTTCTTTTTAAATCTACAAAGTTTATTTATTCAGAAAATATTATTGAGAATAATAGAATAAAATATAAAATATAAAAATATATATCTTCTATTATAAAGTAATAGAAGATAAAGTAATATGCTAATAAAAGAAAAATTTCTATTAACAATGAAATAATACTAAATATGGATAATATAATAAAGAAAAATACAAAACAAAAAAGTTATTCGAGGACTATATAAGTCTCTTTAATTTAATAGAGATTTTATTCATTAAAATTCAGATAATATTATTGAGAACAATAGGATAAAATTTTAAATAAAAAATATTTAAAGAGTACTAAAATATATATCTTCTATTATATTACAAAAAGAAAGTATAGTAGACAAAAATATTAAACAAAGTGATATGCTAATAAAAATTTCTATTACCAATGTAAAAATACTAAATATTGGATAAGTATAATAAAGAAAAATATAGAACAAAAAACTTATTCAATTACTATACAAGTCTCTTTAATTTAATAGAGCTTTTATTCTTTAAAATTCATACAATATTATTGAGAACATTAGAATAAAATTAAAATAAAAACAGTATTTCAAGAGTAATAAAATATATATCTTCTATTATATTATAAAAAAGTAGTAGATAAAAATATTAAACAAAGTAATATGCTAATAAAAATTTCTATTAACAATACAATTATATTAAATATTGGATAATATAATAAAAAAAAATACATAACAAAAAATAACTAATTGACTATATAAGTTCCTTTAATTTAATAGAGATTTTATTCATTAAAATTCAGATAATATTATTGACAACAACAAAATAAAATTTAAAATAAAAAATATTTCAACATTAATAAAATATATATCTTCTCTTATATTACAAAAAGAAAGCGTGCAGATAAAAAATATTTTATTATTAAATATATCATATTAACAAATAAGCTAAAATTAAAATTTATATGTTCAAACAAATACGATCATAATTTAATTTAATTAATATTAATGGGCGCCACTGCTAGTTATACATTATAGCTAAAAAGTAGAGTGAGTGACTATGTTTATGAAGCAAACTCCCAAAGTAGGAGGGGATGTACTCCTTTAAGCCAAACAAAAGCTACTCTCTCCGCACACGCACTCTCTCCCCCCTTGGTCGGTTGTTCTCTCCGCCTCTGACCCAATTAGGGCTTCGAGTAGAAGACAAAAGAAGAGGAATTACTTGTGACGATCCCCAATTTGTGTCAGAGACAGACACTAGGTATTATATTGCACTCTACCTTTCTGTTAGTTTGCTGTTGAGTGTTCAAAATTTGCTTCTTTGCCTAATGGGTATTTCAAAATGTAATCACCCGTTTAAGTTTTATGTATAAAGACCTGTCTTGTTGAGTTCGATTTCTCCAGTTTGAGTTGAATGTTTACTGTTTTTGCTCTGAAATTGAGGAGTTGTTTCCTTCTTTCTCTTTAAGTTTACTCAAAGAAATTCTCGTTTTCTGCGACACCAACCTATTTTTCTCGATTTTGATTTTTTTTGTTAGCACTACTATCTTGAGTTATTTATTATAGTTTCTATCCAAAAAAAAGTTGTCTTTATGTCTATTTTCTCCATGCATGGCTCATGTCTACTGCATCATTGCATTTTCTAAAGTTGCACAATGGAACCCCTTATTACTCTTTTTTCTCCTTGTATTTCAGTTTATGTTGTTCAATTTCCATGTTTACCTTTTTTGACAATAGGATGGTTTGATGCTATTCACTTAGATGCGTGCCCATGTGGATCCTGTTGGTGGTTTTCTAGAGTATACTCGTACCTTCTTCTGTAATCTGGTTATTAACTTGCTTTTAAGACATCGCTCCCATCTGGTAAAGGAATAGTTTACCATTGAATCTAGTTATGAATTATTTGAGTGCCTGGTTTATGATCTTTTTTTGACGTTGCCATGTTGCTGTTTGAGTACAGGTTGGTTCTATATTCTCTCCAATGGATGCAATTAGTATCTCTTCGGATGATTCGGATTTGCGTGAAATAGACAACTACAAAGATGATTCACCTCTCAGGGATTCTGCCACTTCTCGAATCCTTCCACCATGGGCAACAGGTAAAGAATGACCTTTTTCTCTTCCCAGCACAAAGTTATGGTGAACTTGTCTATAACTTAGACCTTGGAACAATGTCAGATAGCTCGCCCAAAAGAACAATTTATCTTAATGGAAGCTCCTCCAACTATCATAATATTACTGATGACAGTGGACCATCAAGTTCACGAGCAATTAGAGACGGGAATTCCAAGTATTCTTCTGGGAATGGTAATAATGGTCTGCCACAAGCATTAAAGGCAGCAGTAGTTTTCACAGGACTGTTTATTGAAAAAGAAAACATTTGTGTCTGATGCAGATAATGGAAAGCATTTTCCACAACAAGCTTTAAAGCGTACACTTCCAACATCTTTTTGTCCTTCTGGTTCAGTAGAGGATATAGGTTTCAGTCAGGCTCGTCAATCTCATGAAAGATCATACCAATCTGCATGGGCAAGTTCGAGCAGTGCTGGTGATAACTACTGGAAAGACAGCTTCAACAGGGGCAACCATAGTGAGTTAGTTCTCTATGAAAATAAAGGAAACAGAGTGTTACCTCCGTCTTTGATGCACAGAAGGTCCACTTCAGGTGTTCAACATACCAGTGTAAGTGATCCCTTACATTACCCTGCGAAAGGTGAAGACAGAGCTGCAGCAGCTGATGAGAGACTGATCTTTCAAGCTGCTCTGCAGGTACTTGTTTGTGCCCTTTCTTGTCATTTGTAAATGTTGTATTTTATTGCACAATTCAGGAACTTCATGCAATGATCCTTCCTTTTATCTCCACCAAATCAGAATGTCTTCACTATTCCCTCCTCTGCATAATGGACCAATGGATATCCCTTTCATTTTATGAATTAATTATACTGTATGCCTGAAACTATACAGTTGAACAGAACAAAGCTAGTCTAGAACACAGTGGTTGTTTCTTGCGAATGCCCTATTGTTTTGTCTGTTGGACAAAACTGAATGTTTATCTTTCTGGTGGGATTTGGTTTCCTTTCTGTAATTTCCTTCTTTTATTCAAAAACTTCATGACATTATTGACCTGACCAGGAATTTTTTTAATTTAATTTCGATGTCTATCATTAGATCTTTTCAGTTCTAGGGAAAAGGAGCAGGGATTTTCAAGTGCGGTGTAAAGATATCGATTTATCTGGGAAATTATGTGAATGAATTCTTAGAATATTTGTTCTATCCCACCTCTCAAAAGATGTATGTTTTATCCTCTAGGGAAGACATAACGTGAATCTGATTGCTGTACTTTATGGATATGCTGGAACATGATTAGGTGTGAGGGGGGATATTTTCCCCTTAAAATTGTTTCAAACACACAATGAGCCTCCAGAGGTGGCATCTCTTGTATGCTCACCCAGCTTATAATTGAACGTACTAATGTCCTTTTCTGGCAGGATTTAAACCAACCTAAGGTAGAGGCTCGTCTGCCAGATGGTCTTTTGTCAGTTTCTCTCCTAAGACACCAGGTCTACTTGTGCTACTTTAAATATCTTTTTATTTCTTGTTATTAATGTGTCTTCTTTTTATTTTTTATTTTTATAGTATGCCTTCTAACTACCATTTTTCTTCCTCAAGAGAATTGCTTTGGCGTGGACACTTCAAAAAGAAACTGGTAGTGTTCACTGTTCGGGCGGTATTCTGGCTGATGATCAGGTCGAGTATAATGCCGTTTGCCTTATTCTGCTTAGCTTCTTCTTGCACCTTTGTTGGTATTCATCATGTTTTCTTATTTATTCTGGTATGCTACAGGGTCTTGGTAAGACTATTTCAATGATTGCCCTCATACAGATGCAGAGGTCAGCTCAGGATAAGTCTAAAGAGAAAGATCTGGATGATATTAAAGCTGAAGCCTTGAATTTGGATGATGATGATGAAAATGTTGCTCCTGATTCTCAGGAAATAAACCAGCGTAGAGAGAAAGATGGTGTCGAGGTGATTCCAGATGCAAGAACTTCTATAAAGGGGTTTCGTCGTAGGAGGCCAGCAGCTGGTACTTTGGTAGTTTGCCCAGCAAGTGTTCTTCGACAATGGGCTCGGGAACTGGATGAGAAAGTTACGGATGAAGCAAGTCTATCTATTTTAATCTATCATGGAGGCAATAGGACTAAGGATCCGGTGGAATTGGCAAAATATGACGTGGTTCTAACTACATATGCCATTGTGACAAATGAAGTTCCTAAACAAGCTTTAGTTGAAGAGGATGACGATGACCAGAAAAATGGAGAACGATTCGGAATATCTTCTGACTTCACTTCAAGTAAGAAGCGGAAAAAGCCATCTCTTAATAAGAAGGGAAAAAAGGGCAGAAAAGGATTTGATGCAGATGACTTTGATCCTAATTGTGGTGGTCTTGCAAAAGTCAGTTGGTTTAGGGTGATTTTAGATGAAGCCCAGACAATAAAGAATCATAGAACACAAGTAGCTAGAGCATGCTGCAGCCTCAGAGCAAAACGAAGGTGGTGCTTATCTGGAACACCAATACAAAATGCCATTGATGAGTTATTCAGCTACTTCAGATTTCTGAGATATGACCCCTATGCTGAATATAAATCATTTTGCAGCCAAATTAAGTTTCCAATAGCTATAAACTCAATTAATGGGTATAAAAAGCTTCAAGCGATTTTGAGGGCCATAATGTTGCGACGAACAAAAGGTAACGTTTGTCTTCTCCTTATTGTTCTTTTAGTCGTAGTTTTGCAAATGAAACTGCAAAAATGAAAACATCATGGGGTTTAAGCCTTTTGATCGGGCTTCTGCCTTGGCTTTTTAAAGTAATTTACGTCTTTATGCCCTTGCCTTCTAACACTGGTTGCATCAGCAAATTTTTATTTACTAAATAGTCTCCCATCAAGTTTTCCTCTCTGGATCACTGAGTGATCTTGATGCTGTAGCAGCTTTTCAGTATTCATTTTTTCTCGATCACAATTTTATTTTACCTTACCGTGCATCTATGTGGTGCAGGCATGCATGTCTGAATGCGTTAATATTTCTTTGTTCAATAAATGATCTTTTGAATTTGTTAAAACCTCCCTCACTCTCATGTGCTCATTAAGTCTGTTAATTCACTTTCTAGCTACATCTTCGACAGATATATTTATATCTAATCTGATTATGTCAACGTTACTGATATAGGTACACTGATTGACGGTGAGCCAATTATAACCTTACCACCAAAAACTATACAGTTGAAGAAGGTGGCTTTCTCTGCCGAGGAACGAGCTTTCTATAACAAATTAGAAGCTGAATCGCGATCGCAGTTTAAGGTACCTCACTGTCTGCCTCTTTTAGCCCGATAGGTGTCAAACCTGACAATTATTGATGAAAAGAAATATTCACTGCATCACATCATCCTTTTTTGTGACCTTTCTCCCAATAACTTAAGGGGAGTGCTTACATAACATAGACAACTTTCTTAAAATTCGATTTCTAGTCAGTCTTTGAGTTTCTGCTCAACAGAAGTCTGAATAACTAAGGATATGTTTTGTAATACATGCTATGCTATGTGAACTGAGTTCTCAAGTTGTGGTTTTTGAATTGAGTTTTTGACTGATCTAAAGGCTCATGAAGCGCACATACTTTAAGAAGGTCATTTTAACCGTCTAAAATCTATTTCATCTGTCTTTAGCATGTCCTACACCTCAATTGGTATCTTCTTTTCCTGAAGATGTAAAGAGTAACCATATATACGGACGTAACCATATATACGGACGTTCTACATTGAGAATAAAAAACACACTGAAATTTATTAAAGCTGCCCCCCCCCCCCCCCGGGGGGGGGGGCTGCTAG